TTATTTCTATATATACAAAATGATTTATAAAAATGATTTGATATTCATATTTAATTAAGGTTGTAAAATGTCATGTGGTGCCGCTCCCCAAAAACCTAAATGAATTAATAATTCGTACACTCATGATTTGAATGGATGCATGCATGAATGAATAAATAAATAAATAATATGCTTTCAGAACTATAGTAATTAAATGTAAGCATTTCCTTGCAAGCATAAAAGTTTACAAATAAAGAAAATACATGTAGTACATTTCTAGGAACTTGGCACACATTTTAAAATAAATCTGTCCTGTTAAAAAATTAGTCCTTTTCTTGTCGACGCCGCATATAGTGCAACTGTGCTCACGGCGACCTGAGTTTGATTCCCGTCTCAAGGTCCTTTACCGATTCCGGCCCCTCTCTCCACCCAGCGCTTTCCTGTCTGCTCTAGGGCTGTCAAAATGGCTGAAAAACTAAATTCAAATTTTGTACTTAAATATGATCAAAATTCGAATTATATTCTAATTTAAAATGCATAATTTCAGTTAGGGTGAAGAAAAGCTTTTGGCTTCTCTCCTGAGGCCACAAGAGGGCAAGCAAAATATTACTAATACACGTTTATTCAAAGCATAAGATAACATGACTATCTGTGGAAAAAAAGTGCATAATGTTTAAAATAATATTTATAAACCAATTATAATTAATTAAGTTGCTTAAACAACTATAAACAAAACAGCATCATGTATGTATGCATAGTAGGGGTGCCCCGATCAGAATTTTTTACACCGATCACGCTTTATTAATCCGTTAACATGAGCGCGGGAAAAAATACACACCACATGCACTTCAAATGGAGTAATGTGAACCTGGCATTATGTGTGTGCGCTGCGAGTGTGCATCAGGAGAGCGCGCAGGCGCTGAATGTTTAAACATTGGCAAGAATTAAAAAGTAATGCAATTTATAAACTTTAGTGACGATGTGACACTGCCTCGATTGTGCAAGTCACAATTCCTGTGTCAACTGTGCAGCGTGCAGCTCACTTATAGATAGATGCGATGTGTGGTGATTTGAAGCCAAAAATCTCTCTCTCTCATTTGCGTATTTTGAGAGAGAAAGAGAGCATTTGGTGATTCACTCACGCTGTTTGTGAAATTACGTCTCACACAAGGTTTTTAAATTACTTTATAAGTTATTTAATGAAGAAATATAAAGGGGAGTACCTCACGGAGACGGAGACGGTGCCGCTGCATGTCGTGCCAAACCTCTCATGGCAGCGTCATCAGCTTGAGATCGTTTTTTTAGATCGGCCTTTTTAGAGACCGCTGACTTCAGCACTATAATTATTTTACCCGCGCCGGACAGAGACGGAGACGGTGCCGCTGCATGTTGTGCCAAACCTCTCATGGCAGCGTCATCAGCTTGAGATCGTTTTTTTAGATCGGCCTTTTTAGAGACCGCTGATCAAACATCCCAACATGATTATATGCCGATAGTGATCACACAGAGTACATTTTTCATTTAAAAACATGAGATGCAGTAGGATGGTGAAAAACCCTGCCATAAAGTTTTGAGAGATGTTTTTTCAACGTTGAACTTGTATAAATTTTACATGGCTTTCTAAACATGCGGCTCCTTTGTGCGAGATGCGAGTGCAGCGGTGATAGATGTCCCTCTAGAAAATGAGCGAAATATGTGTTCTGTGTGAACGGCTTGGTTTCAGTTTTGCATCGTTTACTATAGCAATGTTTTTGCATTCGAATGTGGATTTTTATTTTAAATTTGACGAATATTCGAAATTCTAATTGTTTTTTGACAGGCCAATTCTGCTCTCTACCGTCCTGTCTAATAAGGCATAAAACCCCCCAAAATATAACTTTTCTTTATTGTGAACACTTTAATGCGTTACTGACCCCAATTATGTCATAAACTATTTATTGAGCCAATAAAATCCCACTGTCATGTATCAGAAATACAACACATAAGTTAAATGCAGAGCAAAGGACATTAAATTAAATTAATGTTGAATTATAAAAGTAAGTTATATTATCCCTCTAACCGAAGATAAGGTGTCAGACTTTCAATGATTTGTGTGACAGACCAGTAAATCATTTGTCAAACATCCAGAAAGCGATTAGCTTTAAATACTTCCTCTAAGCTTTTGCCTGGTTTAAAAAACAAAAAAAAGTTTTCAGGAACAAGGGAAATAGAGATTTGTTAGCGATGTTGATTAGTGACTGCTTAAATTTCATTGTCCATTTTAAAGCAGACAAGTGTGCTTTAAACTTTGTCATTGTATTATAGTTAGTAATTAAATGTCCTGTTGAAAACTACCCAAACGTGATGTTGCAATTCAGTTACTGGAGCACGTGTGTCTGTAGTAGTGTTTCAGGCTGTAGTGAAACTGGAATTTCCAGTGTGTGAGAAATAGTGGGGGACTTGCCAGCCGTACGAGGTTCGTCACTTCCTAGAAGCACATTTAAGGAGCGTTTCAGTACACTTGGTGTGCTTTTCCATATATGACCTTTACTCACACACATTCACTGTCTCTATCTGCAATCATTCATGCTCATGGACAATGAGAAAGGTGCACATTAGGGCTGGGATGATACGCTAATCTGCCAAATCAATACTATCCCGATACTATATTGCGATAATTGAGTATAGGGCTGCACGATAAATCGAAATGGAATCGAGATCGCGATTCAACAGAAGCTGCAATTGTCAAACGTATCTTTCAGTTCTGTGATCAGCAGTAAATCTCCATCCGAAGGCCAGAGGGAGCAATGTGTAGTAAATGCTGCTCCATCTGAAAGCACGTGATGATGATGATTTACTGCTGATTACAGAACCGGCTTTTTTAACAAAATGCACATGACAATCGCATTCGATTAATCGTGCAGCCCTAATTGAGTATTGCGATTATATTACTATTGCGATTCGATATTACAATTTATTGTGATTTTTCTTTGCTTATTAAAGACTAGACAATGGAAAATACTTGATCATATCGTTAAAGACGACTGTATATATTAACAAAACAATGCATCACATCTTTCTTAACTTTTATTTCAGGAGCATACACGTACACGGTGTATATTTTAAAGTACCTTGAACCATGACACCTTCAAGTACCAAAACCCTGAACTTGCACATGCATATAATAGTCAAATGTTCAACAAAATGAGTAGAAAAAATACTCTCTGAAATAAAATAAAGTGCTATGCTACTTTGCATACCGTTTTTAGTCATGTTTTCCAGGCAGTGTGTAGAATCCAAAGTGTTCCACACTTGGGATTTAAAACATGAATGTGCAGAAAGAATTCTCAAAGAGGTCTGATCCTCTGCCTCAGTTATGGTTTTGCTTTCTCTCGCCGACTTGAAACGTATACGACGTCATCTAATAATCATCTAATAATGCAGCGGCACTGAAATAAATTGTATTTAATACAATAAATTGTATTTATTATGTCTATTGGCTCTGCATGCTTTCGAATCTCTCTCGCGGTACTTTGATGTCATACGCCGATAGGTCTGTGTGGTGCTGCTTCAAGTCGAACACATACATTTCGCCCTCTGTTGGAATAAAAGCGGTAACTTCTCCCTACCACCTCTTAGGAAAAGTAAACAAATTAAATTTAATTAGATTCTGAGGTAAACCAATCAATTTTTAAATCGTTTTAAAAATAATCGCAATAGTTAGGTGAATCGATTTTTTCTCCCACCTGATACAATATTATTATGAATGAATTGCTTTAGTAAATACAGTTACCAGTGATATTGCTATTTGATCTCACATTTATCATTAGGGGTGCTCCGATTGATCGGCTACCGATGCACTCCTGATGCACACTCGCAGCGCACACACATAACGCCAGGTTCACATTACTCCGTTTGCGTATGTGGTGTGTATTTTTTCCGCGCTCATGTTAACGGATTAATAAAGCGTGCACACTGCGCACGGTTGCTGTCCGGCAGTGCGTTCAGGAGTGGTGCGGTGGCAGCAGTGCAGAGATCGTTTCCGTACCGAGTCTATTGCTGCACTGAATTAAAGTAACAGCGCATTGTTTGCAGTAAATATGAACATGGATTGACACGAAAATTTAGTAATTACACCATAAATGCATATTATTAAAGTCTACTGTGTTTCACAGTCAACACATATGACTTTTTGGCTAGGTTTAAAGGGAAAGAGCACTTTTAGATAAACAAGGCAATAATAGATGGCACTCGTGGAGGTAAGAAAACAAAGTTCTTTATGAACCGCAGGATTGCTTGTAATAAAGATTTAAATGCAAAAGGAAAGGCAGTAGAGCTGACTATTTCTGTCAATGGTAAGTTTGTGATAACGTAAGTAAAGTAGTTTAAATGTTTTGACATTTGCTTGAGCAACTTAATATATAAATCTAGAAGTAAATGCAAAAGTAAAAAGCATTGAATAATGTGTTGCTTACATTTATTGTTTAAACATGTCTGTGAAAGATTGTATTACAGCACTGTGTAAAAAAATAATTGCAATACTGAAAAAGCAGTTTTATTGACAGTGTTTGGATATGACTTCTGCTTCTCTTCATGAGTTCTTTCAAAATTATTTACAAATCACAATTGTTCCAAACTTTTGACTGGTAGTGTATAACTAAATTAGCTAAAGTATTTAAATTAATTATATGTCAAAAATCTAGTAGTCGGTATTGATAACACTAAAAGTACACGATACTTGATACCACGGGAAAACAATAACAATAATACTTAAATATTAACTCCTTTATTTAACATTATTAAAACACAACATTAGTGGCACTTGGCCTTCAAATAACACGCACACACGCACCTATACTCTCAATGCAAGCATTAGTTTAAATTCACTGACATACTGGCAGGCTGAAAATATTTTTTAAAACCGTTATCATAAACAACAATTATTTAAACCAATAGCCAATAATGTTATATGTATGTAGGCTAAATAAACTGCAGTTTCAGTGGCAGGTGAAAGTTGACAGCTGGTTTAAACATTGGGCCTGATGGCGGTAACAGAGTATTACCAGTAATCGGTGCGGAACGGATGGGCTGGTGTGAGTCACTCCTCATGGCTGATGGGTGGGCCAGGGCAGAGGTCGTAATCTCACACATCCAGAAGGGTGTGAATGTGCAAGAGTGTCTTTTGCATTTGGGACGGGACGTTTTGAAATTGATTAACAGGCCGTTATTCACACACACACACGTGAGTACAACACACACTCAAATTCCTGTCATGACTGTCACCTCTCCTCTGTGATAGTTACTTGATAGTAAACCGTTCAGTTTGTTAAGTGCTCATATAATGTCAGTGGTGCAAATTTAGATTTCAACAAGGCTAGTCCACCTTCCTGCTAAACTAAAGCAAACGAACTTACCATGGCTGTTTGCTCCGCTTGTTTCCTACATATCTGTGCTAGTTTTATGTTTCTCATATCAGTCTGCATGTATTTCATGTTCATGTGAATAATACGTGGAAAACGTTCAATACGTCAGTCATTATTGCAAGATAAACCCCTTAAGAGCATTACAGTTTACGTTACGTAAAGTACGTTCATTTATTACATGACCAACGAAGGTATACATGAATAATCACCAAGCGCTGCATTTTGACTCGATTTATCTCGATTATTGTATTTTCATAATCGTTGGAGGCCAAAATCGAGATCGAAACTGTTTTTCGATTAATTGCACAGCCCTAGTTTATGGTCACCAAATGTTTTTTTTCTAAGGTAAATGTGACGTTAAGTCATATGGTTTACAAGCTGTTATGATGTCTTTGCGCGCAGGAAACACTGATTGAGTGATTACATGAGACAGGATACGGATTGTAAAGTTGTACTCTTTCTTTTAACTTGCCTTCAGATGTTTAGTCATGTTTATTTTGTGCTGTAACTGGTATTAATGTGGAGGAGATGATCAGTTGACGTGTGCATTGTGCTGCTACGTCTGTTGAACTGAGGCGCTACAGCGATCTGTCACTCCAGATTAAACAGTGCCAAAACGGCATTTATTGTTTAAATACTGCAAAACAATGGACAGAATTTGAAATCTGAGACTTTGTTTCATATTAAAAGTACCAAAGCACAATGCTTATTGCGCTATATTGGATGGGATATGTTCCGTCCTTCAATGTTCCGTCCATTAACTGAAAACAGGTTAGACTAATTGATTCTTGGAATTTAAGAATTGATATCGTTCCATAAAAATGAGAATCGATTAATATCGAGATATCGATATTTTTTACCCAGCCCTAGTTGTTATAATGAAGCATGAGTTGAGATTACAGAACAGTTAAATCAGTTTAACTCAGTCCACCCTGATGAATGTTTTCAGGGATATCTCTCTTGTTATTCCAGGATATTCAAGCTGTTGCTGTTTGATGACAGGGATGTTATAATGAAAGTTTTGGCCAATAACATACCTGGGTGTTTGTTTAGTTCTCTAGTTAGAGAAGAGCTAATTAAACCCTTGTGATTCGCTGTAATAGTATCTTGTTCAAAGTAAGCTGTAACCGGTCACACCAGCCTGTCTAGTGTTTAGGTTTAAGAGGTAGAATTAGAAGGATAATGGGACAAAGAATGGAAAAGAAAAATGATTGAAAAAATAAGTATTTTGGTTTGGTTTAAACTTGTTTTACATGGACTATGTAGACATACTTCAATGATTTTTTTCACTCTATCATCTTACATCATATGCATGTTGCAGTCTAGATCTCCTTCTGTTATAAAACACTCTAAAATGCTGTAATGGTTAGATATTGCAGATGTATAGAGAAAAATGTTCCAACAAGCTATACTGTATGAGTTCTTTTCAGTGAATCGTTTGGAATTGTTCCCAAATGTTCAGAATAACTATTAGACAATTAGTCTGAATCAGAGTGATTTTTAAAACATTTAGTAATATTCATATGTGGTCAAAAAGTCTGGGAAGCCAGTATAAAAGTATACTTCCTCCAGAAGTATTGGCAGCAAAAAACTGGTTGGTTTTGTTGCTCAGATGTCTCTTCATGTCTGAGTGGGCGGTTTTCGGGCAGAATAAGCTTCAGTTTGTGGATCAGGCTTTATTCTGATAGTTTGGCTCCTGTGCCCCTCAGTCTGTGTATGTTATGAGGATTCTTGCCAAATCATTCACATTAAACAAAACATGTTTTTATAATTGAGCCGAAATGTTGGGTAAGCAGACAGATTGACTGCTTCTATCTATGTCTACATATTGATGGTATTTCCTTCCCTTTTGTGTTAACAATTTAACCATCCTTTTTGTTTCTGTCAGAAAATATCTATTTTTAGGGTCTCTGTAATTATATCTTTTTTTGGTGGAATTGAATAAAACATTATGACATCAGAAACTGTTTGAGGTGAAACTGCCTACACAATGGCAGAACTGATTTTCATGATTTGGTCTTGTTCCTAAACTTTGTTTGTAAATGTTTTTCTGTAAGTTTAGTTTTGCATATCAAGTGTTGTTCTTTTTATGGTTTATAGGCTTATATGCTGCTATCTTTCTGTCCGCAGACACGTATGCAGAGTTTACAGCCGGACCCAATGGCTCAGTACCGCAGTGTGTACGGTGCACTGAAGAGGATTGTGCGGACAGAGGGCCTCCTTCGACCCTTGAGGGGCCTCAATATTACTGTGCTGGGGGCCGGTCCCGCACACGCACTCTATTTCGCCTGCTACGAGCGGATCAAGCGCAGCCTTAGTGACGTCATACAGCACGGAGGCAACAGTCACATTGCTAACGGTAGGAGAAGGGATTATTCTGTGAGGTCTTAAAGGGATAGATCACCCAAAATTGAAAACTTGCTGTTAATTTACTCACCCTCAGGCCATCTAAGATAGACTTTTTCTTGAGTAGAACAGTATAGAATATTTTTAAACCGATTTTTAAACTGAAACCGTGGTAATTGGTGATTCATAAAATGCAATCAGCAGCTTCCGGCGCTTACAAAATATCAGGCAATGCAAAATGAATATCCCTGGCTCCTGACTAAATATAGAGGTCTTATGAAGCGAAACAATCGGTCTGTGCAAGAAGCTGATCATTATTTACAATGTTATTAACTGTAGGCTAATTCATAGCCTCAGGCAAACAGGAAAGCTGATTCTTTTCTGCGAACTGGTTCTTTCAGACAGTTTGCTTTTGGTTCAAATAACTAATTCACCAGTTTGATATGTAATAACGCAATGGCATCAGATATATGCAGGGCTCAAATTTAGGGGGGTTGCGGGGGGATGGCATCCCCCTGGTTGAAAAAAATGACAAAAAGCATCCCCTCTGTAAAGCCACCATCCCCCCTAACCATCCCCTTTGGATTAATAATGTGTATTATGTAAAACTTATCATGCAAATGAAATGTTAAAATTCTCTATGTATGATAATTCACGAACTAAATAACGGCGATTGGCCAATCAGAAAAGGGTACTGTAACAAGCTGCGCACAAATATGGAGTTTATAATATGACAAAACTAATTGAATTTGTATTGTGTAAATTTGAATTTTTGACAAGTGTCATTTAATAAAACTGAATATTATGTGGCGTTTAACACAGTTCTGAATTGGATTTTTTTACTTTATTTTTTGAATATTAAACATTTGAAATGTAACACAACTGAATGTTTTTATGGCGGAGTTTTATAGACATGTATTTTCAAAAAGCTATTTTTTTGTTCTGAAATCTTAGACGGCAAATATCCAGTTTTTATATCCACGGCAAAAATACAGCTTCAAGTTTTCAAGATGAAGAGGAAATTCGGAACATCAAATTCAACATTCTAAAATTCCATGCGCAGAAATTCAAATCATACAGAAAGTAGGTCAGAGATAATCCACAGCATGCTGAGAATGCTAACCTAACATATAAGTATATAAACCATAAATGTTTAAGAATCACTTAGGCTACCTCTGGGGGATTCATGATCAGGTAGATCTTGAAACGCACGCTTACGCCAGAAAACTACTAATTGGCCAAAATGCTTCATTTGACTTTTCGAAGATCATCTGCTCTTTTACCTCTGACCTACTTTCTATACGATCTGAATTTCTACGTATTGAATTTGATGTTCCAAATTTCCTCTTCATCTTGAAAACTTGAAGCTGTATTTTTAAAAAGCAAATGCATGGATAGAATACATCTCTTTAAAACTCTGCCATATAAACATTCAGTTGTGTTAAATTTCAAATGTTTAATATTCAAAACATAAAGTCAAAAATCCAATTCAGAACTATGTTAAATGCCACATAATATTCAGTTTTATTAAATGGCACTTGTCAATAATTCAAATTTACACAATACAAATTCAATTCGTTTTGTCATATTATAAGCTCCATACACAAGCAGAAGCAAGCTTTCGTCATTTTTCGCACAAAATGGTTCAAGCGCAACTTTTGAAGTTCTTTAAAAAGAAGACAACTGAAGGTATGATTTTTCCTTGATTAGAATTTAAAGACATACCCCTGAAATTTACTGTGCTGTATGTGTGACTGTGAGGGATTGAGAGATGATAGGAGAGCTGATATTATCCAGTCATCAACTTTGCAAAAACCAAACAAAAACATGTCTTGAGAGTCCAAAAGCATTCACTGCGAGATCAAGCCTGTTAGAATGCCCTTATAATTCAAGCAATGAAAGAAAAAATACCCATGTATGAGTTCTTATGTTTTTATATTCATTGCACAAGCCACTTTTTCTAAATATCAGCACATGTGTGCCAGCACAGTTCCTTGAATGAATCGGTTTTTGAACGAATCGAGTGAGCCAGTGATTCAACGGCTCATTCAGATGGACTCACTTGTTTAGTTTCTAATTGAATCAGTGGTCTTGAATGAATCGTTTGATTTGAATGATTCAATAAATAATTGATTAAAACAGAGACTTGCTGCCACCTACTGGCAATATTATTATCATCATTATCCATGACGGGCCTAAACCAGCCAAGGTGGCAGCCCAAAAACACATTCAGCATGCAAAATATTGTTTAATTATCAATATTGACCAAAATTCCTCAATTTCAGGCCCCAGAAGGGAAAAAAGCTTATAAATAATAGTTCATTTAATAAGGATAATTTTTCATTAAATAAAAACCTTTTTTAAAAATTAGACAAATTTTGTAATTATTATGTAAAATTAGTTACCCTCCCCCCTGTCCATTGTACCGTCGTTTTGAGGAAAAGGAATGGAAAGTGGAGCGCCCCTTTGTTGTACATTGTAAATGTAGCATATGAGCATATGAGTTTCTGTTCTGTTTTTTTTCAACATGTTGTGACTTGATATGGGTGATGTACATAATTTTTCTTCTCTTTTCCACTTCAGGTGTGGCGGGAAGTGTTGCCACTGTCCTCCACGATGCTATCATGAACCCAGCAGAAGGTAATCTTCCACAGTCAATAATGAACCTTATATTTTAATACTGTTATAAGTACACTGTAAAGTGGTTTGTTTTGGGGTCTTCAAGATAGCTGTAGCAGAATACGCCCAAGAAATTCCACATTTCATCAACAATAATTGTACATTTTATCCAGGGATTCATCTTTTAGTTAGCCGATTTACTTTTTTTAATGATTTATTTAAATAAGACTTTCAACATCTCACAAACCTCCTGCATTTCCTTCATTAAGCCCTGTTTGGAAACCCTGGTCTAGACAATAGAAACAAAAATATGTCATTAAAATCAAGTTAGTTGTTATTATTATTATTATTATAATTATCATTATTGTATAATATGTCATTAATAATACAGTTAATATGCATTTTTAATGAGCATGAAAAAACTCAATTGTAGTAAATTGACAGTTGGCTGAAATGACTGTGTGGTCTTTGTGAAGATTTTTTTTTTTTTTATAACGATGTGTTTCTTTCTTTAATGGCTGATGTCAGCATAATACTAGTAGATATGATGCAAACATTATTGCTTGATTAAAATAACTTACAAGTATTTGAAAACACAAAATGTGCATCCTTTGTCAAGGCTGTCTGGGCCACTTTTGCTAACCAGCCAATCAGACGCTGATATTGGCCAATGCAGAAAGTATCACAATATAGTGCTGCAGTGATGATGTATTTTTGTAGGCCAGCTCAGAAGTTAGAGTCACCCTGCTTCCCTCAACAAAAATCCAATAGGAATTTCACTGGATTCTTGGATTATTGCAGAAAATAAGCTCCATGACCAACAAATATTCTCACATTGTGATAATATTCACAAATGAACACATTTACTGATGTATTTCATGTCGTAGAATAAAACATGAACATATCTTGAGCTTGTGTCAAACAAACACCTTATTTTAGGCATTTAAACGAAAAGTCCACTCAAAAAACCCAACCGGAGGTGCTAAAATGCAGATTTGGGAAAGAAATCAATCAAATCTGTATGTGTGTGAAAGTATTCAGATGTAACCATCTTTGAAATTGTTACAATTTTTGTAAGTAACTAATTTAATTACACGTTTTTTTCCCCAGTAACTGTAACTGATTACAGTTACATTTATTTTGCAATTAAATTACGTAATTCCGTTACATGTAACTAGTTACTCCCCAACACTGATTATTAATCATGAAAATCATGGTTCATAAGGCTTGGCATAGAATCACCTATTTGCATTCGCCAGAGAGTGATAAGTACAGTGAATGTTATAATTTTCACACAAAATCTTTTTCACTCTCTCTCTCAGTGGTGAAGCAGAGGATGCAGATGTATAACTCCCCATACCGCAGCCTGTATGACTGCGTCCTGACGGTCAGTCGCAAGGAAGGCCTGGCCGCCTTCTACCGCAGCTACAGCACTCAGCTGACCATGAACATCCCCTTCCAGGCCGTCCACTTCATCACTTACGAATTCATGCAGGAACATTTTAACCCCCAGCGCCAGTACCGGCCCGAGACACACATCCTGTCCGGAGCGGCGGCCGGAGCCGTGTCCGCTGCCATAACCACTCCATTAGACGTGTGCAAGACGCTGCTAAACACGCAGGAGAACGTGGTGCTCAGCTCCGCGCACGTTAGCGGACATCTCTCCGGCATGGTGAACGCACTCAGGACAGTGTACCGATTGGGCGGCGTGCCGGCCTTCTTTAAAGGCATCAGAGCGCGGGTGATTTATCAGATGCCATCTACGGCCATCGCCTGGTCCGTGTATGAGTTCTTCAAATACTTTCTGACCCAACAGAAACCACACATCCAGGAGCTGAGGAGAGACGCTCACAAGGCCAGCCCTACATGAGGCCCGCCAGCACTGAATCCGTTCAGCCCATCCAAAGAGTGCGCGTGAGGATCAACGGACAACGGACAACGGAAGACGCCTTCGGCTCGAAAGGGAATGTAGATGCTCATTTCTTATGCAGTAGACACTCCAGCAGCTTCTGTGCTTGATGCTAATGTATTAATTTATTGGAAGAGTTTAATGTTGTTACAAGAATGTATGGATGCTGCACACTACAGAACGTTTCTTGTAAACATGACGGAAACAGGAAGGTAAAGCTGTGTCGATGTTTTGTTTGTATTCTCACTTACATATTTATGATTGAGC